GGGCATCAGCATGGCAGTTAAAGTTTGTAGTGTGCCACAGCTCAGAAGTTAATCTTAAGTGCTTCCTTTCCAAAAGATGGAACTAAATCAGATTCAGGAGAGAAATTTCGTTAAAGTGATGCGTACTCACAGTTCCACATGGTCTCTAACCCTGAGAGTGTGAATTCAGTGTTGTACCGTGTGAACCTGTTTGTGGTTGCTGTGACTACGACGCAGCTGCACAGCCAACCTGGAACCTTCAGCAAGTTCCACGCTGGCGCCGGGGCACACGCTCCTTTCTCCTTTTCCTCCCATGACTTATCACACAGAAAAGGTAGAGGATAATGAGAATTTCTGGTGTCGGGGTTGCATGCGTTTGCTGAAACTGTTGGCCCAGTTACTTTGGATAAGGCCCTCAGTGTTGACGCCTTTCTCCTCCTGAAGTCGATGGAGGCCCAGCTCTCAGTCCTCCTGGCCATGTTGGGCGGGGAGGGGAATGGGCACTCCACCCCAGGTGGAGCAGGTCTCCTGGGCAGCAGGTCCCACCTCTGAGGAGACAAGTTCAGTGCTGTCCTTTCCTGCCTGCTGAGTGAATAAACAGCTTACTTTATAATTACCTTTTCACATGCCAAGTTGAAACATAATTTCATTGTCTTACAACTGAGCTTTTTCTAGGCAAAGTTTGTCATGCCTTTTTATATTTAAATCTACTGCTTGACATACCTTTTCTGCTGAGAATCTGTCGTCACTTATCTTACAGCTGAGAAAAGTTTATTCTAAAACGTTTCATCACCTCAAAAGGAAACCCCCAGTGGCCCATGCCTATAGTCCCAGTGCTTTGGGAGGCTGAGGCAAGAGGATTGCTGCAGCCCAGGACTTGAAGACTAAAAATAAAAACATTAGCAAGGTGTGTTGGTGCCCCATGTAGTTCCAGCTACTCAGAAGACTGAGGTGGGAGGATCGCTTGAGGCCAGGAGGTTGAAGCTGTAGTGAGCCGAGATTGCACCGCTGCACTCCATCCTGGGTGACACGAAAATGTTGCCTCAAAAAATAATTAAATGAAAATTAAGGAAAAACAGAAGACACGCCCATTCATTAGCAGCTACTTCACATCCTCCCTTCTCCCCTGTTCCTGGTGGTGTGCTGTCTGCCCTCCATACCCGTGGACAGTTACATAAATAGACTCAGGCAGGTGTGCCCTTGGTGTCTTCTGCTTTCACTTTGTGTGTTCCCAGGTTCATACATGTCGTAGCATGTGTCAATATGTGTTTGATGTTTGTCTCCTGTATATCTTCTGTCCTTTTTGTTCCTGTATTTCTCCATCACTACCTTTTTTTAACTTAAATTTCCATAATGTTTACTTTGAAGTTTAAACTTTCAGTGGTCCTTCCTTACCCACAGGGGATGCGTTCCAAGACTCCCAAGTGGTGCCTGAAATTGTGGATGCTGTTTTTCCCTGTGTACCTGTCATCAACTTTTAACTCAGAGGAATCCCATTATGGCGTCTGTGGCACATCTGAATTGCAGTGTCACCTCTCCTGCGCTTTGGGGCCGTGATTAAGTGAGATAGGGTGACTTGAACACAAGTTCTGTGATGCTGCAACAGTCGTGTGTCACCAAGATGCCTGTGTATGGGTGGGTGGTGCCTGCAGCATGGGCAGTCTGGGCAGAGGGATGACCCCCGGCCTGGCCTGCCAGATCTCAGCCAACCATTCAGCCTGGTGGGCACTTTAACACTGTGAGTTATTTCTGGAATTTTCCATATGATATTTCCAGAATGAGGTTGAACACAGTAACTGAAACCGCAGACAAAAGGGACTGCTATATATATTGAGCTTTTTTCTTAGTATTTGCCCTGAGCATTACAGCGAGCACCTTTAACAATCTGGTTTGGATTAATACCAACTTAATTTTAAAAGTTTACAAAACTATTTGCCAGTGTAGCTTAATTCCCTCCTCTGTCCTTTGCGCTTGTATTGTTGTACCAAGCAGATCTTTTTTCCTTTTTTTTTTTTTTTTTTTTTGAGACTGAGTCTCGCTCTGTCACCAGGCTGGAGTGCAGTGGCGCCACCTCAGCTCACTGCAACCTCTGCCTCCCGGGTTCAAGCAGTCTTCCTGCCTCAGCCTCCTGAGTAGCTGAGACTACAGGTGTGTGCCACTACGCCAGGCTAATTTTTTCATTTTTAGCAGAGATGGGGTTTCACCATGTTGGCCAGGCTGGTCTCGATCTCTTGAGTTCGTGATCCGCCTGCCTTGGCCTCCCAAAGTGCTGGGATTACAGGCGTGAGCCACTGCGCCCGGCCCAAGCACGTCATTCTATTTTTTTGTGCCCATTGCTTTATGCACTTGTCTTTTAAATCAGGAGGGAGAAGAGCTATAAACAAAAGCCACGTTGTTTTGTCTTCTGTTACCTGCACTGCTGCTCCTGTTTCTTCCTGGGAATAATAGTCTGGGGCCTTCTGTTTCAGCCAGAAGGACTTCCTCTGGTATTTCTTGCAGGACAGGTCTGCTATTGATCAATCCTCTCAGCTTTTGTTTTTGTGAAAATGTCATAATTTCTCCTTTATCCTTGAGAGATCATTTCCTGGATGTGGACTTCAAGGTCCACAGGCTTTTTCTTCAGCACTGGGCAGCACTCCCTGCTGCCTCCTCTGTCAGCTGGGGCTGTGTGTCACGGGCCGTGTCCATCTTCCTAGGGCTGTATGTCATTAGCCTTGTCTGTTTCCTCAGAGCTGCATGTCGTGAGCCTCACCGTCTTCCTAGGCTGCGTTGTGACCCCGTCTTCCCAGGGCTGCGTGTCGTGAGCCTCACCCGTCTTCCTAGGCTGTGTTGTGACCCCGTCTTCCCAGGGCTGCGTGTCGTGAGCCTCACCCGTCTTCCTAGGCTGCGTTGTGACCCCATCTTCCCAGGGTTGCGTGTCATGAGCCTCACCCGTCTTCCTAGGCTGCGTTGTGACCCCGTCTTCCCAGGCTGCGTTGTGACCCCGTCTTCCCAGGCTGTGTTGTGACCCCGTCTTCCCAGGCTGTGTTGTGACCCCATCTTCCAAGGGCTGCGTGTCATGAGCCTCACCCGTCTTCCTAGGCTGTGTTGTGACCCCATCTTCCCAGGGCTGGTGTCATGAGCCTCACCTGTCTTCCCAGGGCTGTGTGTCGTGAGCTGTACCCATCTACCCACTGTGCACTAGCTGCCCTCAGGCTTTTGATATTGGGCTGTGATGGTTGAGTGGGTCTCTGTCAGTTTATCTGACTTGGGGTTCATTGAGTTTGTATGTGGGAATTACTGTTATTTTCATTAAATTTGGGAGGTTTTGGCCATGATATCTTCAAGGGTTCCCTCTGCCCTTTTCTCTCCCTCTCTCTGGCTTGAGGGTGTCCCACAGGCCTTGGAGGCTCTGCTGAGTTTTTTTTCATGTTTCTCTGTTCCCTCACTGGATCCTGTGAACTGGCCCATCTTCCGGTGTGCGACCTATGTCTTCTGCCTGATCGAGTCTGCTACTGAGCCCCTCTATAGTGGACTTTTTTCGGTGATTGTATTCAGCTCCAGGGGTTGAGGGAACTCTATTCCCATCTTTGTCTCTGCTGAGGGCCCTGTGTGTGTTGTGCCCTTGGGGCTCTGGGGGGTGATGGACAGCCCAGCCCTGGCCTTCAACCCAGCTGTGCAGAGCTGAATGGTCAGCCTGCACCCAGCCCAGGGCCTCTTGGGCCCATCCAGGGTGGGCGCAGCCCTGCACGTGTTCACACCATGTAGAGCCCCAGAAGATGCCAGAGCTTTTCTGAGCCTTTGTGGACGTCTCATTCTCAAATGTTTTCCCCGCAGCCCCTTATTAGTTCCATCTGGCATCTCTACTGTGGGTGGCTGCAGCTGTGCTGTTAAACGCTCGCCATGGACTGTTTCCAGCAAGTGCCCTGGGGTAGAATCTTTGACACCAAGAGAGCTCTAACCCAGCCACGGCAGATAGGCTCGGGCAGTTGTGCATGGCACTTTTGGGGTCCCCTTTCCTACCCTGGCAGCTACTGGTTTTCAGGGCTGTCAGATTGGAGAGGAGCTTTGGGTCAGAGCGGAGTTAAGCACCCGAACCTTGTTCTGACGGACACTCAGCCTGTGCTTTCCATAAACACTTTGGATGGTTGCACACCTGCTGGAATTGCCACAGCTCTGGAAGCATTGGTTTTGATGGTTTTTACCAGTTTTTCTTTTGTAGAGGAACAGATTTTGGAGGCTCTTACTTTGCTATTCTAGAAGTGCTACTTCTAGAGGTTTAAAAAATAAGCTTATTTCATTAATTTAATTGGCCAGCTACAGTGGCTCACACCTGTAATCACAGCATTTTGGGAGGTCGGCATGGGCGGATCACTTGAAGTCAGGACTTGGAGACTAGTGTGGCCAACAGGTTTTACTAGAAACCCTGTCTCTGCAATAAAAATTATAAAAATTAGCCGGGTATGGTGGCAGGTGCTTATAATCCCAGCTACTCGGGAGACTGAAGCAAGGGAATCTCTTGAACCTGGGAGGCAGAGGTTGCAGTGAGCCGAGATCACGAGATCACACCACTGCACTCCAGCCTGGGTGACAGAGCAAGAGTCCTTCTTCAAAACAAACAAACAAACAAACACAAATATATATAAATATAAATAGTTTAATTCATTCTATTGAACCTTATTTAAAAGTTTTTGTTATTTAGGAAGAAAATAATAAAATTTAAAAGGGAAGGAACCTAGCCTTCCAAATATCTTCTGTTTTCATGGCTGTAATCCCAGGATGGTAAACTTCTTAATGTGATTCTTGAAGATGTTACGGTAACCCTTTAGGAGTGGCAGTGAGCAGTGCTCATTACAGGCAGCCGTCACCGGTGCGGACTTGTGTCCCTGAAACCAGGACTTAAGTCTCTGAGCGCACGTTTTCTGTGAGTGGTGGCTCTTGGTGCAGAGTGGATATTTGATGAAGGTGCTGAATTCTAGCTAATAGCAGATAATGCATTTTTCTAGCTTACTGATACTTTTTATTGTTATTAATGTGTACAGGGTGAATTTGGAAGTGAAAAGAAAGCTACATTGCCTGAAAAAGAAGAGACACGTGGGCTCCAGAGTGCACAGGCACAGCCTTTTCACCAAGAGGAGAAAGAGTCTTTGTCTCTACAGCTTCAAAAGAAGAATCACCAAGTCCAGCAGGTGTGTAGAATATTCCTTTCCCTTGTAATAAGACACGTACAGCATGAAAATCACTTTCCTTTGGTGGTAAGGCGTGTAGCATAGAAGTCATCGTAACCCTATTTCAGTGCCTCGTTCCATGTGGCGGTGCATTCAGCCATCTGCATGTCTTCATCTTGCAAGATTGAACTCTGTTCCCATTAGACTCTCACTGCCCATTCTTCCTCCCCTGGCACCATGGCCCACACCTGTTATCCCAGCACTTCCAGAAGATGAGGCGGGAGGTCCACTCCACCCCAGGAATTCAAGACCAGCCTGGGCAACATAGGGAGACCTTCTCTCTACAAAAAAATTTTAAAAGCCAGGTGTGGTGGTGCGCGCCTGTAGTACTGGCTTCTCAGGAATTTGAGGTAGGAGGATTGCTTGTGCCCCAGAAATCGAGGCTACAGTGAGCCGTGGTCGGGCCACTGCACTCAGCCTGGGCGACAGAATGAGACCCTGTTTCAAAAAGAAAGATCTTTGTCTACCTGGCACCTGACTTTGTGAATGACCAGTCACAGTGACTCACTGGAATTGCCGCTGGAGCAGTGGATCTCTGATGAACACCCCTTCCCTCCCCTGGCCTCAGGTTCCAGCTGGGGGTGCCGATGTATTCTTCTTTTGTAAACGATGAGTGATGGAGGAAAAACTGTATCAGTAATTTTCACCTTGAATTGGCACCTCGTTTACCTTTGCTGTATTTTTTTTAAACGTGCTCCTCGGCCTGTGCGGGGGCCGTGTCTCCACCATTGTTGGTCAAGGCACTGTACGTCGAGGAAGCACCAGAATGCCTTCTGCTTTCGTACCATGGCAGAGCTGAAAAGTCCTGTGTCAGAGACTCGAATAGTGACCGTTGCGTTGAAAGTCCCTTACAGCCATTGAATTTTAACCATATCGTTTTAACTAAAGCGTTAATAATCTTTCCCCGTAGCTGAAAGACCAGGTTGTCTCCTTGAGTCACGAGATAGAAGAGTGCCGTGCTGAGCTGGAGGCGCTGCAGCAGAGGCGGGAGCGGGAGAACCAGGAAGCTGCAAACCTTCTCTCCATGCTCAAGGCCGACGCCGACCTGTCCCAGAGCAAGAGGTCAGTGTGTCCTCGGCCCCGGGGCTGCCTCATGGCTGCCTGCACCCCCTAGGTCACGTGGAGGCCATTGGTCTGTGGCTGACCAGCTCCTGGCCCCATAGCTGGTTTGCCACCGTGCACGCTGACTCCTGGTGGGCGGGGACCCGGCCTCCTTATTTCGCTCACCTAAGAAGATTGTAAGCGCTGGAAGCACACACCTTCCTGCCTGCTGTGTCTCAGCTTCCCATCTAGCCTCCCTGGGAAACCCCGTCACTCTCCTCCCACCCAGAGCTCAGCCCCTCCCCTTAGGTATTGGCGAACCCAGAGTGCACCCAGGTCCTCGTCCCTAGCGTGGCATGCATTCAGGCCCACACGTCTTGTGGTTCCTGTGGCTTGGACTGTGTGGGTACGTCATGCCTCACACATCTCCCTGTGTCATGCGTGTTTGAGACTGGCCTGAGCAGCGGCCGTGGCCCTGCCTGTTCCTTTCTGCACCAGGAGCCTGTGCCTGGGGACCGGCAGGCAGTGGGCTGAGCGCCCAGTCCCGAGGGCTCTCCCAGGGCAGGGCATGCGTGTGCTTACCATGGGCTGCAGGGTCACCTCCCCTGAGCGCACGGGTCCAGGTCTGTGTCCTGCCCTGGCGCCTCCTCACCTGTGGCAATGCCATCCCTCAGTCTTGACTGCCCCTTTATCTCGTTTGGGGCCTTAAGAAACTGCTAACTCTGATACCATATAGGTTTTCCCAGGTCATCTCACAGGGTTTTACGTTTTGCTTTTGTGTGACTCTGGGGTCAGCCTGCAGCTCTTCCGTTGTTCTTGCTTGCACCTGTCTGGGCAGTGGGCTCAGCACTGAGTTGGCCAGTGCAGCCTCCCCTTGGGTGCGTGTCCTCCCTGTCACCTTGTGTGGGTCTTTGGCTGCTCCCATCAGTGTGTCCCACCCAAGGCGTCCATGTCCTGCTCCTGTGGTGTGTCCCGTGTGAGGCCTTCGTGTCCTGCTCTTGTGGTGTGTCCTGCCCGAGGCCTCCGTGTCCTGCCCCTGTGGTGTGTCCCGCCCGAGGCCTCCGTGTCTTGCCCCTGTGGTGTGTCCCGCCCGAGGCCTCTGTGTCCTGCCCCTGTGGTGTGTCCTACCCGAGGTGTCTGTGTCCTGCTCCTGTGGTGTGTCCCGCCGGAGGCCTCCGTGTTCTGCTCCTGTGTCCTGGAGCCCCGGACTGGGTTTGTCGGCACCCCCAGAGCCCATCCAGGGTTGGGAGACTGGGTCAGGCTGATGGGATTCTCTGAGTTCACAGCTGTTTCTGGAGCATTGGTGTCTGTCATGCTGAGGGTCCCTCCATGTTTGGGGCATGTCTGTGCAGATCTCCTTTGTTCTTTTTGTCAAGTTTTGTGATTTTTCTGTGAGGACCTTGCCTTTTCTTGCACTTGGCTGTGGGCACCTTGTAGCTTGGTGCTGACTCTCGAGTCACCGGAGCCATGGTGAGCAGCAGGCGAGGTGCCTCCCAGCCTCTAAACTGAAGGGCACTGAGGTTGGCAGTGGGTGGGGCAGCCTGTGCTCTGAACTCAAGGGGTGTAGAGGTGGGTGGTGGGTGGTGGGTGGGGTAGCCCAGGCTCTAAACATGAGGGGCGCAGAGGTGAGCCTCCCATCCCTGTAGGCTGGAGGGAGTGCCTGTTGTGAGGAGGGGCAGATGCCAACGCCCTGCTGCCTGTAAGAGTTGGGCATTTCGGGGTCTGGAACTGTGCCAGGGAGTGGGTGGCATTCTCTTCTCAGGGCTCCCCCTCTCTGTTATTTGCCCAGAGTCCTGGGCTCCTCGGGGCCTGCATGGCGCTTCTGCAGGTCTCACCTCACGGTCTCCATGAATCAGGCCTCATCATCTGCTCCACAGGGTTGGGCTCTGGGGTTTAGAACTGTGAGCGGAGTGGATGGAGGGCCAGCTGTGTAGGTGTGGGGTCAGCCTGCCCTTCCTCAGCGGCGTCGCAGTCAGGAGGGCTGCCCCTAAATCGCAGTGCAGGGAGCAAGGCGTGGACGGGCCTGGGCCCCAGGAGCCCCTGTGTGTGAAAACAGAAGCATCTCAGACCACACATCCACAAGGCCCAAAGGGAGACTGGGAGACGCCATCCTCCTCTCACTGTGCGACTCCTGTGAACGTGTGGCTTAGACGTGACTGGTGTTGGACAGACATCTTGTAAAACCGCTGGCTGGTGCAGCCTGTGCTCTAGGGGAGAGATGGAGCCTGTGTGCTGCTCCTGGGTGATTTATACTGTGCACCCACATCGCACAGCTGCAGGACGGGCTTGTTGCGTTCCTAATACGGCACCTTTTACAAATCAGAAATGGCATTAGGAAGACCTCTCCTAGGAAGCCCACGTCCTGGAGTGGGTGCCACGTGGTTGTCTTGTTTGTGGTCTTAGCTTCCCATGCTCATGGGAGTGAGGATTGTGTCTTCCGGCCCTGCAAGGACAGGTGGCTGTGGGCCGAGTTGTGCAGAGTGGTGGGCAGCCCCTCAGCAGTATCTAGGGTGGGTTCCCATGCCATGACCGGCTCACCTGATGGGTGTTTCCTGTCTCAGAGGGGCCCTCCAGGACGCCCTGCGCAGGCTGCTGGGTTTGTTTGGAGAGACACTGAGGGCAGCCATCACCCTGAGGAGCCGGATTGGGGAGCGTGTGGGGCTCTGTCTGGACGACGCGGGCACAGGCCTGGCCCTGTCGGCAGGTGAGTGTACCAGGACCAGGCCCCCAGCCGCCCGCCCTGTGCTTGCAGCCCCTGTGTGGGCCTGGAGCTCTCGGAGAGGATCCTCCAGGAAGGCACTGCTTTCCTGGTTTCCTGCACTTACAGTAGGCCGAGACTGGGGTCTGGGCTGAATTTGCCAGCTCCTGTGGCGGGTGCTGTCTGGTCTTAGTTCTCGGCTGGGCCATCATTCTGAGATGCCTTGTCACTGTGGCTGTCGTGGCTGTGGCCAACTTGCTCACTGAGCCACGTGTGCCGGTATCTGCCCATCTTTCAGCTCCGGCGCTGGAGGAGACATGGTCGGATGTAGCCCTGCCAGAGTTGGACAGAACCGTATCTGAATGTGCGGAGATGTCTTCTGTGGCTGAGATTAGCAGCCACATGCGTGAAAGCTTTCTCATGAGCCCAGAAAGTGTGCGGGAATGTGAGCAGCCCATCCGGAGGGTCTTCCAGAGCCTCAACCTGGCCGTGGACGGACTCCTGGAGATGGCCCTGGACTCTAGCAGGCAGGTGAGGCCCACGCTCCCAGGGTCCTGTGGAGACGTGAGGACTGAGTAGCTGATGTTGCCTCGCAAGCCTGGTGGACGCTGGTGTCAGCCGTATCTCGTGGGTTTCTCCCCAAGGAGGAGGCTTTTCTGAATCAGATGAGGAAGTGGGCTTGCTGTGAACGCGATAGAATCAGTTCAGTTTGGATGATACACAGGCATGTTTATTTACTTCACTTCAGGTACCGTTGGAAGTCCATATGGAGTGTTTTCATATTTAGAGATTATCACTAAAAAAGGAAATTGTTTTTTAAATCTTTTTAGAACATTTTAGACAATTAAAAAAGACATTAAATAGGAATACGTGGTAAGCAATTGAAGATCCTTTTTTCAGCCAGACACAAGGCTCATTCTTATAGTCCCAGCACTTTGGAAGGCTGAGGTAGGAGGTTCACTTGAGCCCAGGAGTTTGAGCCAGCCTGGGCAACATAGCAAGACTCCCATCTGTACAAATTTGATTTTCTTTTTTAATTTAGCCAGGTGTGGGTGGCATGCACCTGTGGTCCCAGCTCCTCAGGAGGCTGAGGCAGGAGGATTGCTTGAGTCCAGGAGGCCGAGGCTGACTGCAGTGAGTCATGATTGTTCCACTGCACTCCACCTAGGTGACAGAATGAGACCCTGTCTCAAAAGAAAAAAATCACTTTTTGCTAAGATTTGAATTCAGAGGTGACTCTGGGCCTCAGCCTATAGATGGTCTGCGAGTCCCAGACTGGACACACTTGCCAGGGGAGTGTCTGGAGGAAGGGAGAGGGACCAGGGCTGAGCTGGGAGGCTGGGAGGGACCGTTGGCCGCGTGCAGGGTCCTCGTTGGAGACTGGGGCCCCGGCCCTGCCTGGGTGTTGACAGCCTGAAGGGCCTGGGGGTAGAAGTAACGTATGCTTCAGTTATTTTTGATCTGGAGTTTTGATTTGTAAATGTGTTTTAACAGTTGGAAGAAGCACGCCAAATTCATTCTCGTTTTGAAAAAGAATTTAGTTTTAAAAATGAGGAGACGGCACAGGTTGTCAGGAAGCACCAAGAGCTGCTGGAGTGCTTGAAGGAGGAGAGCGCAGCAAAGGCGGAGCTGGCGTTGCAGCTGCACAAGACTCGGGGTGAGCAGTGCGGGGCCTCGGGCGCCTGGAGCTGTTGAGGGAGCAGGCTCGGCCTCTCTGAAGGAAGGAAGCCTTCGGAATGGGGTTTTAAAAGTGAAATGTAAAACAAAGCCAACAGTGGGAGGTACCCATGGTTTGGGAGGAACAGGGTGTTTGGGAGCTACTGTGGCTGGCAGGGCCATCGGAGGCCCTTAGCTGTGTCCTGGAAGCCTCCGGCTCTTAGCTCTGCTGCCCTCAGGGGCGGTGGCCCAGTTCCTCCCTCCCAGCAGGCCATCCTCCGTTGCCCGTGGCGCTTGTCTCACGGGTCTCCTTGCTTGAGGTCTCTATGCAAACCATGGAGCAGGTGTGGATGTGGGGCGATGTCAGCTCTGCACCCAGGGCTGGCTTTCTCAGAGCATCTCTGTGTCCCCCAAAGGTACCCTCGAGGGATTCAAGGTAGAGACTGCAGATCTGCAGAAGGCGCTGGCCGGGAAGGAGGATTCCGAGCACCGCCTGGTTCTGGAGCTGGAGAGCCTGAGGCGGCAGCTGCAGCAGGCAGTGCAGGAGCAGGAGGCACTGAGGGAGGAGTGTGCCCGTCTGTGGAGCCAGAGGGAGGCCGCAGCCACGGATGCTGAGGCCAGAGAAGCTGGTGAGGAGGGTGGGCACTGGAGGGCAGTGCGAGCTGTGGGACGTGGGCACGGCTGCCACGGCCTCCCCAGCTCCTGGGGTTGCTTAGTGTCTCTAAGAGGGCCAAGTGTAAACAAGCATGCTGCTTCTCTAGAACGCTGGACATGGGAAGCTTGTGTGGCATCAGTGAGGGGTCTGCTGGCCTTGCTGCCCTTTCAGAGAAGGTGGGTTGTCTGTTGGCCCCACTGGTTGGAGGGTCCCCCACCTCTGTGAGGTGGAAATCAGAGGAGTTCTGAGTCCAGCAGCAGCAGCTGGAGGCAGAGCCAAGCCACGGCAAATGAGAGCTGCTCTAGGATCTCATTTAAAATAGCCAAGTGCCTGATACTAACCCCAATTAGGAAAACATAGTTTTAACGAAATTAGTTTATATCATTTCAGATTTTTAGATATTTTGGTTTTAAAGGCGTTTAAAATGAAAACAGTCAAAACATAAGAAGCTTAAAATGAGCCTGCAGGGAACTGTGTCCTCGGTAGCTTGCTGAGCTTGAGCAAAGGCTTTTCGCAGGGCTGGGGTGTCCGCCCTCAGTCCCGATGTTGTGCCTCCCTGATCGCTGCCTCCGACTCTGGCTTTCTCCCCATGCCTTTTCAGCTCACACCGGGCTGGTCCTGCCACCCACGTGCCCACTATTCCACCCTATAGACACGCTGCACTCCTGGGCTCTCAGGCCCCCACTCTGCAGATGCCCCGCACTCCTGGGATCCCAGGCCCCCACCCTGCAGTTGCCCCACACTCCTGGGATCTCAGGCCCCCACCCTGCAGATGCCCCGCACTCCTGGGATCCCAGGCCCCCACCCTGCAGTTGCCCCACACTCCTGGGATCTCAGGCCCCCACCCTGCAGATGCCCCGCACCCCTGGGATCTCAGGCCCCCACCCTGCAGATGCCCCGCACTCCTGGGATCTCAGGCCCCCACTCCGCAGATGCCCCACACTCCTGGGATCTCAGGCTCCCACCCTGTAGACGCCCCGCACTCTGGGATCTCAGGCTCCCACCCTGCAGACGCCCCGAACTCTGGGATCTCAGGCTCCCACCCTGTAGACGCCCTGCACTCTGGGATCTCAGGCTCCCACCCCGAAGAAGCCCCGCACTCCTGGGATCTCGGGTGCTTGGGAGGCAGAGGAGCCGGTGCTTTTCATTCCTTCCAGGATGTTTGTGGTCTCGTGGTCATCCCTTCACAACACAAACTGGAGTTACAAGCTTGGGCATTGAAGGAACCACCTCAGCCAATTCAGAAGTCTCATTTTTTGTTTCAAAAACCATTTTTTTTTTTTATGTTTTTCTCTTTAGAAAACAACGAGCTTTTAATTTTTGTGGCCATTCTCATTTGCTGTCTCTGTCTCACTGATTTTTGCTATCGTTCCTGTGATTTCTTGCTCCTATGGTTTCTCTTTTTGAGACGGAGTCTTGCTCTGTCGCCCAGGCTGTCGTGCAGTGGCATGATGTCGGCACACTATGACCTCTGCCTCTCAGATTCAAGCGATTCTCCTGCCCCAGCCTTCTGAGTAGCTGGGATTACAGGCACGTATCACCACACCCAGCTGATTTTTTATATATTTGGTAGAGATGGGGTTTCACCATGTTGGCCAGGCTGGTGTTGAACTCCTGACCTCAAGTGATCCACCTGCCTTAGTGTCCCAAAGTGCTGGGATTACAAGTGTGAGTCACTGTGCCCAGCCAGCTCCTGTGGTTTCTGGCTTTCTTCGCTCTGTGGGCTTTTTGGGTTGCACGCCGGCAGGCATGTTTGCCGCCTCGCAGACTGGGTTCAGGTCGTGCCTCCTGGTTGTGCCCCCGTCTTTCCACCTGTGGTGCTCGTGTGATTCTTTGGCCCAGTGTGGAAGGCGTTGTCTTGCGGGGTGTTTTAAACTCTATGATCACGTCCAGACTTTGTCTTCTTTTTTTGGTTCATTTTTGTCATTCCTATTTATCCTGTTTCTATTTTTTATGTACATTTCTGAGGTTGAAGATTAGCCTGGTGCTTTTCCTCTTGTATATCTTTTCTTGTCCTTTCATTTTGAGTCTTTTAATGCTCTGTTTTAGTTGTGGCTCATGTGGATACCGTGTTCATGACTTTTTAAAAACCCTACCTGTAGGCCGGGTGCGGTGGCTCACGCCTGTAATCCCAGCACTTTGGGAGGCTGAGGCAGGTGAATCATGAGGTCAAGAGATCGAGACCGTCCTGGGCAACATGATGAAACCCCGTCTCTACCAAAAAATACAAAAGTTAGCTGGGCATGGTGGTGTGCACCTGTAGTCCCGGCTACTTGAGAGGCTGAGGCAGGAGAATTGCTTGAACCCAGGAGGAGAGATTGCAGTGAGCCGCGATTGTGCCACTGCACTCCAGCCTGGTGCCTGGTGACAGAGCAAGACTCTGTCTCAAACGAAACAAAACAAAACAAAACCCTACCTGTGAGTGTCTTCTTTTGGTCCATTTAAGCCAGTGTTTTCCCATCGTCTCAGCCCAAAATCTCCTGAAACTGATAAGCAACTTAAAAATAAAAATAAAAAAAAATAAGCCAGTGTTTTTTGGCCGCACCTGCTGGCGTCGGGCCCTTCTTGCTGCTCTTGGTGTTTCCTTTCTGCCTGCTTGGCCTTGGCCTTGGCCTTGCTCTGGGGTGAATTTTCCTTGGCCAGCTGTGAAGTCCTCACTGTGGACTTGGCTGCTGCCAGGCTCAGGCCAGTGTTGTCCCCCACGGGCCTCCAAGTGCTGCTGCCCTGTGCAACACGTCCACGGAGGGAGGGCTGGGAGGGCCTGGAGTCTCCTCCGTCGCCGCCTCTGCGAGTCAGGTTGTGCTGGAGATATGACTCAAGGTGCTGTTTCTTTTCCTTTGAGGCGCTCGTTTTCCTGCGTCTCCTCAGGGACTTTTCAGGAATGGCTCGGACGTCCTGCATCTCTCTCAGCACCCAGGGCCTGCATCTCTGTCCAGGCTCTGCTGTTGTGTCTGGCATCTGTTGTTGCGTCTCCCCTGATGCTTTCTCTGCTTGCCACCTGCTGTTGAGGGGCAGCCTCGTGGCCGGCCCCTCCCTGTGGATTCTGCTGTCCTATTTCCAGTGTCTTTGTGCCCAGCCAGCGGTAGCCGGGCTGCACTCTTTGACGGGGAAGAACGACCTGGTGTTTTATCACCACGAGCCCTTGGACTTCAGCCCAGTCACCTTGTTAGTCAGGACTCTTGGCAGAGAAAGGGGTGTGCAGCCTGTGTATTCTTGAACCGCCTGGCAAGGCCTAGGCCCAGTGGCCGGGGCCCCTGTGGCCAGCACTGGTGTTGTGCCCTGGGCCTGGGCACATGGGGCTAAGCACCATGGAGGCTTCTTCCCAAGGCTATGGTGGCCCCTCTGCTGCTTTGCCTCTGGTTCCCCCCCCTGCTGTGAGGCCTGGCCCACCAGGGAGTGCCCTGGCAGGGGACATGGGCCCTGGGTGTCCACAGCCTGTCGGGTCCCTGTAGGCCTCAGGACAGAAGCTGAGGCTTACTACAGGCCCTGCAGTGGCAGGTGCCTGCCATGCTGGGCACGGATCACATGGAGCCCTTTCACGTCCTGGGCCCACTCTGTTTTGTCACTGGGAAGTTCTCGTTTCTCTGCGGTCCTCTTGTTTGCTTTCATCTTGATGATATTAACCCTGCCTTAGTTTCTCACGCTGGTTTCTTCCTTTTCCTTTCACCCTGGATCTGCAGTTGTGTGACTGTGCCTCGGCTACCGGCGTACCCACTGTGACCCTGACCACGCTCCTGGCAGGGCCCATGCGCTGCGGCCCGGCCTGGCTGTATTGCGTGGCACCTCCTGCTGTGAGGCGTGTTTCGTGGCCCTCTTCCGGTGGTGTCGCCTGTCCCATTTGTTCTCTTTTGTTACCTCAAAAAGTCCATGGGCTGCACCTGCACAGGCAGTTGTGGGCATGGTGGACGCTGAGTCTAGAGACTGTTGCAGGCCAGCAGCGGTGCCTGGAGCCTTCACTGGCTCTAACTCTCAGGTTTAGGCTGCACGTTTCTGTTTCTGCCTCAGTAAATGCACTTTCGTTCATAGGCACAGCTGTCACTGCAGCACACAAGGACTCAGGTTTGTAAAGTCAAATGAGTGATTTCTGTGTGATGTGCTGTGTGTTCGCCCTGGATTTTGCAAATGATTTGCTAAAGAAAAGAACTTCAGAACTTCTGTGACAAACAGTAAATACAGCGACACTCTAATCGTCAGTGTTCACAGAAGTGGGTGTTGTCCCATTTCCGTTCCCCAGCAACATGGGAGCGTTTCTCTGATGATACTTTCTACAGTTCCTAAGCTGCAGTGTGTGCTGCTTTTCAGGAGCTCTTGCGGCAGTTGTAGCTATTGTTGGGCTGGGTCCCTGCTCTGGTCTCCTAGGAGGGCCTGGGCCTGCTCAGTCCCCTGTGTCTGCTTAGCCAGCGGGGATTGCGATTCTCCTGTGCCTCCCTGAGGCTGCGTGTGTGTCGCAGGCGCCTGGCCTCAGTGCATGGCCCAGTGCCCTTGGCCCTGAAGATGGTGATGTTCTGGGCCGAGTGGAGCCCAGGTCGTGTCCAGGGCCAGGAGCATAGTTGGGGAGCAGCTGTCCCCAGGCCCCACCCCTCGTCCCAGGTTGTGAATGGCATTGCCACGGCAGCATGTTTACAGTGGAGTCGCCATCACTGCTGACAGCGGCGTGAGCCTTTATTGAGAATGTTACTTGCATTGGTCATGATAGTTTTATAAAACACTAACAATTTTATAGATCAAAATGTTTTTTTGGAAACTGGTGAAATGTCCATTAACATGTATGAATTTAATAATTTAGTTTTTGAATGGCTTAAAGTCTTCAGGATTCAGGCTGGGAGTGGTTGCTCACACCTGTAATCCCAGAGTCAGACTCCGTCTCAAAAAAAAAAAAAACTAATAAATACTTCAGGATTCAGCAGCAGAGAGCCCCTTTTCTCAAGACGCTTTTTAATCGCAGTTTGCACTTGGGCTGGGGCTTCACTACCCAGGGTCTCAGGCTGTCTGTGTTGCTAGAACAGAATTCTTGAGGCTCGGGGGTTCATCACGGACAGACCTTTGTGGCTCGCAGTTTTGGAGGCTGGGAAGCCTAAGGTGAAGGTGCAAGCAGGTTTGGTGTCTGGTGAGGGCCCTGTCTCTGCTTCTAAGGCAGAGCCTTAAACGCTGCGTCCTCTGGAGTGGAGAGCTGGCTCCTCAGGATCTTTATGGGTCAGAGACGGAAGGGCCGAGAGGGAGGGCACATGCCTGCAGCCCTCTGATTGAGGCATCCCAACCGCTGTGAGGGTGGAGCCCTTCTGGCCTAATCACCTTTTAAAGGCCCCTCCAGTACAGCCACACTGGCAATGAAATTGCAGCATGAGTTTTGGAGGGGACAGAAATTTAAACTGTGATACCCAGCTAATTTTATTTATTTCTATTTATGAGATGGAGTCTCACTTTGCTGCCCAAACTGGAGTGCAGCGGTGATCTTAGCTCACTGCACCCTCTGCTGCGGATTCAAGCAATTCTCCTGCCTCAGCCTCCTGAGTAGCTGTGATTACAGGCATGCACCACCACGCCCGACTAATTTTTGTATTTTTATTAGAGACGGGATTTCAACATGATGTCCAGGCTGCTCTCAAACTCCTGACCTCAAGTGATCTGCCTGCCTTGGCCTCCCAAAGTGTTGGGATTACAGGTGTGAGCCACCGTGCCTGGCCTAGATTCGCTTTTGATTCACCAGTGGGGCATTTGCCTTTCCCCTAGACACGTCACAACTCCAGGCACTCAGCACCGTCCGTCGTCTGCTGGGACTGGGCTTGTGTGGGGAGGGTCTTGTGAAGACAGAATTCCTAGAGAATTACCTGATGTGTCACTCAGAAGTATTCTTTTCAGGCTTAAAAAATTTATTTTAGCCAATTTTGTTTTCAAAGATGGGCTTTTTACCCCAAAGTCATGTGACTTCATTTTGGGTGGGTTTTGAGGGAATCATCATCAGGAAATGCACGTGTGTGCCGTGCTCAGTACAGCCCCTGAGGTGCAGGGGTTCCTCGTCTCTGTCTGGTTTGCCTCCTTAGCTCTCCGGAAGGAAGTGGAGGATCTGGTCACGGAACGGTCAGAGACCAAGAAACAGGCTGAGAAGGACCGCTCAGCCCTGCTCGCCCAGATGAAGATTTTGGAAATGGAGTTGGAAGAACAGCTGTCTCAGCATCTTGGGTGTGCCAAGCAAGCAGAGGCTGTCACCACCCTGGAACAGCAGGTGGCGTCTCTGGACAAGCATTTGCGCAGCCAGCGGCAATTCATGGATGTAAGAATTCTGAATAATCCGTTTTATTTGCGTCACTGAAAAGTGCCATTACAGCCTGAGCTTCTTTCCAGATCGTTACAGAAGCTTCTCTGGTGGGATGTTGAGGAGGGCGCCCCACACCTGCTGCACAGGGGCACCCGGGTCACTGACTCTTGGTGGGTGTCTTCCTTGCCCATGTTTGTGGCTCAGGCCTCCAAGGGCTGCCTTCCCTGGTCTTGCCATGCTCCTTCTCAGTCCCAGAGGCATCCATTGTGGCCGGGCTGGGCCTGCACTGCATGCTTTCACCAGCTCTTGTCCTCCTGCCCACCAGTTCCAGACGTTCCTGTGTTCCATGCAGAGGCCCGCTTTTCTTTACTTACCTCCCTTTTACAAAGGGGCTGTGACGAGGGGGAAATTTGGAGTCTGAGCTGCTGGGTGGTTGTGCTTCCATGTGCCGTGAAAGACTGGGCCTTCACTGCAAGGGTCACACAGGCCCCATTAGGCGGTTCCAACATGCTGCTTTTCTTCCAGGAGCAGGCCGCCGAGAGGGAGCATGAGCGTGAGGAGTTCCAGCAGGAGATTCAGAGGCTGGAGGGGCAGCTCCGCCAGGCGACCAAGCCACAACCCTGGGGCCCTCACGACAGCCAGGTGAGTCCTCATGGTGTGCGGTGCTGCGGCTTGCTGTCTTCTGTTGTGTTTTTAAGCTTAAACTTTCTTTAACTTTTTGCCTTCCATGTATGTGAAAACGGCAGCAAGCACCGCTGGATGGAGAGGTGAGGAGGCGTCGAAGAGACAGGCACTCCCTGTGCTCGCCCCCAGGCTCCCTGCGCCCACGGGGACTGTCCTGCTGCCCACTCGCTCTTCTCGCTCTTGCTTGGGCTGCAACAGCTTGCTTTCCTTTGTTTGAGGAAGCTCTAGTAGGTTTGTTTATTCTTTTTAAAAATTAACGGTGGATCCACACGCAGCAGTTAGAGGTAAGACTCTGATCCCTCGGGGCAGACATGCAGTTCCCCAGAGGTCACATCTGTAAAGCTAGAGCGCAGTGTTACCGCTGGTATGGGACCTGGTGACGCTGTAGCGCCTTCCATCCTCCAGGCACCTTCATGTGCCCTTTCACGGCCATGCCGTCGTCCTTTCTCTGGCAACCACTCCCCTGTCATCTGCTTCTAAAACGTTTCCATCTTTCTGATGTGTGAAGTCTGTCATCTTTGGGGATTGACGCTGTTCGCTGACTCTCTGGAGATTGATCCAGGTTGTTGAGTGTGGCCGTAGCTTTTCCTTTTTGTCCTGAGTAGTAACCCTTCACCCAGTTGTTCTTCCCTTAGGCCTCCCTGTGTGGCTTGGCTCCAGGAGAGGGCGTAGGGCGTCCGTCCTTTTGCTCTCTATTGTTTTGTTTGGAAGATGGGTTTTTGTGAAACACTCTCTTGTATTTCCCAAGCACTTTTTGTTGTTTTAGGTTGAGTTGTTACAACAAAAGTTGAGAGAAAAGTCGGATGGATTTAATGAATTGGCTCTACAGAAAGAGTCGGCAGATAGACAAGTGTCAATGCAGGAAGACGAGATTAAACGTCTGGAGGAGATGAACGTCAACATGAGAAAAACAGTGGCCCAGCTCCAGGAAGAACTAGAAAACCAGAAAAACGTTGTGAAAGAGTTGGAACAAGTAAGGCGCCTCTGCGTCGTGGCTGGGCGTGTGGCCAGGTGTCCCCGCGTGCACGGCTTCCTTGCTGAGCTGGCGGGGAACAGGCAGGGCCTCCTTTTTCACTCGCACCCTCCACACCTGTGCCAGAATCACAGGTGTCAGGGATAACAGAAGTCACTGGTGACTGGGTAGCAAGCGTGCTCAGACCTTTCTGGAGATACTTGCTTTTATTTGCTGGTAGCATTTTATAACATTTCTTTATGTCTTAAGAACTCTGAATTTATTCTTAATATTTCATAAAGTAAACATTTATTATTTTAGTTTAAAAAAACTTACCTTATTAAATACTTTGATGAGAACCCCTTGTAGTTCTTTCCGTTTTTGAGTTGAGCAGCCTATGTCAGCTCCCAGTGGCAAGCTCCCCAGTGATGGTTTGCGTTGCTCTGTTTTTGTTTGTGAGTCTGAGAGTTTAAAGAGGGGCTGCAGTGCTGAGCTGGGCGGCAGGTCTCGCGGCTGGAGGGGGCAGGGCTGCCTGTCTGCATTTCTAGGTGGCAGCTTTGCCCTCCTACTTTGGGAGCATTTAGCTAAAAGGAATTCAAGTGACTTTCTGTCACCAGAGGTTGCAAGTTTACTTGGAAAGTGAGGCTTAGTAAGCAATTTGATTTTACAATCAGTCGTTTGGTCCTCAGACCCAAATCCTGCTTCACACATGAGAGGAGGCTTTCTCAAGTGTGTCCGATTCTTTTTCTTTTTGGAGATGGTTCTCGTTCTGGAGTGCAGTGGCGCGCCCTTGGCTCACTGCACTCTGCCTCCCGGGTTCAAGTGAGTCTACTGCCTCAGCCTCCCGAGTAGCTGGGACCACAGGCGCCCACCGCCATGCCCGGCTGATTTTTGTATTTTTAGTAGAGACAGGGTTTCACCATGTTTGCCAGGATGGTCTCGATCTCTTGACCTCAGGTGATCTGCTCACCTTGGCCTCCCAAAGTGCTGGGATTACAGGTGTGGGCCACCTTGCCTGTCCAGTTGTGTTTGTTTCTTGTAAGTGCTGACGAGAATTACTAAGTCGGGCCTTTCGTGAGGACCTGACGTGTTTCCGTTCTGGTGTGGCAGGGAAGACCGCTCATCATCACCTGTGCTTGGAGCAGAGTTGTTCCCTGGCTGGCCACTGCCTGTGCTTCAGTGACAGCTGCTCCAGGGCTCCTGCACCCCTTCCTTCTGCCTCCATTCAGCGAACATTTACTGAGCTTTAGGGGGTGCCAGGGCTAAAAAATGGTTTTTTTCCCTTCATGAAATTGGACTTTATATGCAATATTATATGCCAGTCTCCTGCATATATAATGCATTGTGACCACTTTCTTCATATTAAATATTCTTTTAAAAAATTTTTCTGGGCAGGTAATATTCATTGTATCAGCATGCCATCATCAGCCATTGCCCCATTTTTTTGGCAAGTTTTTGTCAGTTTTGAATATATTGGTAATAGTTTGGTGACTGTTACTGTAGATCAATTCCTCACAGTGGACTCGGGCACAGGCTGTGGCTCTGGGTCATGTCCTACACCAGGCAGGCCTCTGCCGGGAAAGGGCAGGGTTCTGGGTGCTGGTGCGCCTGGTGTGTCATTGAGTGCAGGTGCGTGCAGATGCACTCGGCCTGCTTTGGGAGCAGCTGAAGATGGTCTGTGTTTTAATAGGCAGCAGTTTGAGGTACTGAATTCCCAAATATTTGCCTAAAATAGATTTTCTGTTTTTAATAGGATAAAGAGGCGTTAAAGGAACAGCAGATGAGTAGCTTGCTTCTGGCGTCCACGTTGCAGTCTACACTGGATGCAGGCAGATGTCCTGAGCCTCCTTCAGGCAGCCCTCCACAGGGTCCAGAAGCCCCATTAGAGGTGACACAGAGCACACTCCTGCAGCGAGAGAGCGAGGTGAGTGCAAAGCGCGGCCTTGGGACTGCAGGTCACTGTCCAGTGGCGTCTCTGGAAGGTCTGACGTCCAGTAACGCAGATGATGGGCTTGTGACCACTGCACTCCTTGCAGCTTTGCCATCTGTATGTGGGTATAGGCACAGGGGAGTAATAATCTGCTTTAGGCATGTGCTTTCAAATCTCTCAAAGCTATTTTAATATTTCTAAATCAATTCTTAATAGAATATTAGATGACTTTTAATGCTTCCTTTCTTTTGTTTTAATGAAAGGTTTTGGACTTGAAAGAACAGCTAGAAAAGATTAAAGGTGACTTAGTAAGTAAGAATGAAGAAATACTGCACCTGAACTTAAAATTAGACAGGCAGAACAACCAGACTGTCATCAGCCTCAGAGAACTTCAGGAGGAGAACGCGAGCTTGAAGGTAAGCTACAAAAGTTCTGCATGACGCCGGAGTTTGTGTCACTTACTCTGGTGCCATGTGGAGCGGCTGCAGGACCCTCCTCACGCAATGGGTGGGGGGTGGGGGAGTGTCTGGCCTTCACAGATGCCAGTGGCCCCCGTGTGGCAGACAGCTGCATAGAGCACCTGATTCCTCCTGGGCCATGTGCACAGAGCAGCTTTCCAGGGATCTTGAGTCGGGAGCCCGAGACCCCTGCCCCAAACTCTGCTTTCTGATTGCAGCCCTGATGGTCAGGGATCTGAGGATGGTCAGGGATCTGAGGATGGTCAGGGATCTGAGGGTGGTCGGAGATCTGAGGGTGGTCGGGGATCTGAGGGTGGTCGGGGATCTGAGGGTGGTCGGGGATCTGAGGATGGTCAGGGATCTGAGGATGGTCTGGGACCTGAAGATGGTCGGGGATCTGAGGATGGTCTGGGATCTGAGGGTGGTCTGGGATCTGAGGGTGGTCTGGGATCTGAGGGTGGTCAGGGATCTGAGGGTGGTCGGAGATCTGAGGGTGGTCGGGGATCTGAGGGTGGTCTGGGATCTGAGGGTGGTCGGGGATCTGAGGGTGGTCAGGGATCTGAGGGTCATCTGGGATCTGAGGGTGGTCGGGGATCTGAGGATAGTCTGGGACCTGAAGATGGTCGGGGATCTGAGGGTGGTCGGAGATCTGAGGGTGGTCGGGGATCTGAGGGTGGTCTGGGATCTGAGGGTGGTCTGGGACCTGAGGGTGGTCGGGGACCTGAGGGTGGTCCGGGACCTGAGGATGGTCGGGGATCTGAGGGTGGTCAGGGATATGAAGAGAGGCACTTCCCCGGGACAGCAGCTATGGGCTGAGAGGCGCGGGGCTGTGGCTGGCTTGTCCTTCTCAAGGAGGTGACTTCAGTGAGTGGCCACTCACTGTTTCTCTTCCCACTGTCATGATAGGAAAAAAATCTTTAAAATTTAATTTTTCAATTTTTGTGGGTACATGGTATATAAAAAAAAATCTATTTTAAAATATTTTCTGTTATCTTAATGTAGCTGTGCTTTTGAAGCAAAAAAGAAAACCAGAACCAACCTGTTGATAGTAGAGATGATATTCAAAATTGCAGAGCATTTCTCACTTTCCAGATGCTTCTGAAGGACGTGTAGAGTCGTGTGTGATGGCCATGTGCCACGGGCTTGGGGAATGGACTCGGCATGGGAGGCAGTTGAGGGTGGTGACATTTACATCTGATTCTCTCACCAAGGCTACATGTGAATGATTTTAACCTTTGTGGAGTAAAAGGGAGTTTTAGGCTGATCCTGGTGACAAGTTGTTTTCCCTGTGGAAACTTCCTTAGTTAATAAGATGAGAAGCAGATAAGAGTTCATTTTACTACTTCTTTGCTGATGATTTTGAGACAGATTGCCTGGAAAAGTACAGTAATTGATTTTTGAGATCCAAACTAATTATGTCATTTTATTTATTTGTGTTATTTTTTGAGAGACTGGGCCTCCTTCTGTTGCCCAGGTGGCATAATCATAGTTCACTGTAGCCTCAAGCCCCTGGGCTCCAGCGATTCTCTTGCCTCAGCCTCCCCAGTAGCCAGGACTACAGGCTTGAACCACCACACCTGGCTGAATTTTTTTTTTTTTTTTTTAGTAAAGATAGAATCTTACTCTCTTGCCCAGGCTGGTCTTGAACTCCTGGCTTCAAGCAATCCTCTCACCTCGGCCTTGTAAAGTGCTGGGATTTCAGGAATGAGCTACCTTGCCTGGCCTAATCTGTCATTTTAAACAGAGAGGATTGAAGCGCCGGGAGGCGGACATTTAAGTAAAGAGGTTGCAGGAACCTTGCCTGGGCCTGAGTCAGCCATCCTGGAAAACAGCCACCACATAATAATATAGGAACAATCCTATTAATTTCTGCAAATAGAAGTATTCAAGCATTTATACAAATAGGAATCAAGGTAATCAACAATGTCTGTCACTGAGGAAGACCTGTGCCACCATATGAAAGTAGTAGTTCATGTACATCCTGAAAACACAAAAGGAAAAGCAGCTGGATTTCATAAAGTGGTTCATATTGTGGGTAAACATATCCTAGCATTTGATCCCAAACAAGAAGAAGTCAGTTTTTTCCATGCAAAGAAAACAATAAATCAAAATGTTATAAAGAGACAAAATAAAGATCTTAAATTTGTAATAAATAAATAAACAGGATTTTCTTTACTTATTGGTTTATTTTTAAACTGCCTTGAAGGAACTAGACAGAAAGGACTTGAATAGAAAAACATTTTGAAATTGATTTTCCAATTTAAACCTGTAGGCTTATTGAATGAAGAAGGACATTTTGTATCTACAGGGTCACAGTAAGGCTCTGTGGACTCTCACGATCGTGGTTGTTGTTATTACTATTTCCACAGGAATTTCTGCACAACAAAGAGGAAGAGATACTGCGTGTGAGCCAGCAGCTGCAGGCACAGCAGGGTGGGATGGCAAGCCATGTTCTGGGCGAGGTAAGCCACTCTCCAGCGCTGAGGGTGAACGGGGTCTTCTCACGCTCCTGGCCATGCCTGCGTCTCCTGCACGAGGGCCTCATAGTTTGTGGGTGTGATGGGCAGGGGCCTTGGCTCTCGAAGTCCTGGCCATGCCTGCGTCTCCTGCACGAGGGCCTCATAGTTTGTGGGTGTGATGGGCAGGGGCCTTGGCTCTCGAAGTCCTGGCCATGCCTGCATCTCCTGCACGAGGGCCTCATAGTTTGTGGGTGTGATGGGCAGGGGCCTTGGCTCTCGCACTCCTGGCCATGCCTGCGTCTCCTGCACGAGGGCCTCATAGTTTGTGGGTGTGATGGGCAGGGGCCTTGGCTCTCGCACTCCTGGCTACGCCTGCGTCTCCTGCACGAGGGCCTCATAGTTTGTGGGTGTGATGGGCAGGGGCCTTGGCTCTCGCACTCCTGGCTACGCCTGCGTCTCCTGCACTAGGGCCTCATAGTTTGTGGGTGTGATGGGCAGGGGCCTTGGCTCTCGAAGTCCTGGCCATGCCTGCGTCTCCTGCACGAGGGCCTCATAGTTTGTGGGTGTGATGGGCAGGGGCCTTGGCTCTCGCACTCCTGGCTACGCCTGCGTCTCCTGCACTAGGGCCTCATAGTTTGTGGGAGTGATGGGCAGGGGCCTTGGCTTTCTAGGATGACAGTTTTCTCATATCATGTTTATAATACTTTTCAAAATTAATTTTATTTGTCAGTCACGGTGGCTCACGCCTGTAATTGCAGCACTTTGGGAGGCTAAGGAGTGTGGATCAATTGAGTTCAGGAGTTCAAGACCAGGCTGAACAACATGGCAAAACCCCGTCTCTACTGAAAATACAAAAATTAGCCAGGTGTGATGACACATGCCACTTAGGAGGTTGAGATAGGTGAATCGCTTGAACTCAGGAGATGGAGGCTGCAGTGAGCTGAGATGGTGCTACTGCACTCCAGCCTAGGTGGCAAAGTGTGAGACCCTGTGTCCAAAAAAGAACCAAAAGGGACAAAATTAATTTTATGGCCAGGCTTACACCTGTAATCCCAGCACTTTGGGAACTTGAGGTGGGAGGATCACCTGAGCCCAGGAATTTTCGATCAGCCTGGACAACATAATGAGACCCCATCTCTACAATTTTTTTTTTAATTAGTCAGGCATGCACCGATAGTAATCAGCTACTCTGAAGGCTGCGGCAGGAAGATGACTTGAGCCTGGGAGGCCGAGGCTACAGTGAGCTGTGGTCATGCCACTGTAATCCAGTCGTAATGACAGAACAAGACCCTGACTAAAAAAAATAATAATGATTTGGAAGGGACCATAGAAGTAAAAAGGAAAAGTTTGTCTACAGTTTGTCACTTTTAATTTCCCTTTGACAGAGGCTACTGAGATATTAATTATCTGTGTTAGTATCTGTTGATACCTTCTGTATTTGGCAAAACTTTAAAATATCCTTTTGGGTCACATTGAAGAATGCCTTTTATGGCTGGACGGGTGCAGTGGCTCATGCTTGTAATCCCAGCATTTTGGGAGGCCAAGGCGGGCAGATGACTTGAGATCAGGAGTTCAAGACCAGCCTGGCCAATATGGTGAAACACCATCTCTTCTAAAAACACAAAAATTAGTTGGGCATGGTGGCCGGTGCCTGTAATATTACTCAGGAGGCTGAGGCAGGAGAATCACTTGAACCTAGGTGGCGGAGAGTGCAGTGAGCCAAGATCATGCCACTGCACTCCAAATTGGGCAACAGAGCAAGACTCTTATTTCAAAAAAAAAGAATGCCTTTAAAAACCATTGATTAAAGGCCGGGAGCGTTGGCTCAAGCCTGTAATCCCAGCACTTTGGGAGGCTGAGGCAGGTGGATCATGAGGTCAAGAGATTGAGACCATCCTGGTCAACATGGTGAAACCCTGTCTCTACTAAAAATACAAAAAATTAGCTGGGCATGGTGGTACGTGCTTGTAGTCCCAGCTACTCAGGAGGCTGAGGCAGGAGAATCGCCTGAACCCAGGAGGTGGAGGTTGCGGTGAGCCGAGATCGCGCCATTGCACTCCAGCCTGGGTAACGAGCGAAACTTCGTCTCAAAAAAAAAAAAAGAAGGGGAACAAAAACACTGATTAATTTTCAAAAAAAGATTGTCTTATTTGTCCTTAGTGCTTTAGAATTTAACATGTAAGCTTACATAATGGAAAATACACTAAAAGTAGTTCACGTTAAGGACAATATTTTAGTTCCATTAAGAATTGAAAACTTTATGGGAAGATTGGGGATGGATAACATTGGGAGAAATGCCTAATGTGGGTGATGGGGGAGATGGATGCAGCAAGCCACCATGGCATGTGTATACCCATGTAACAGTCTTGCAAGATCTTCACATGTACCCCAGAAGTTAAAGTAAAATTTTAAAAAAAGAATTGAAAGCTTTAGAAGGACAATCCCCAACATTTTCTTCTGGGATTTTTCTTCCAGGTACGTGCAAATTTGTACATCCTTTGTTTTCTATTTTACCAAAAATTCTCCTAATTTTTTGTAAAGGTGCAGATGTTATTTTGCTTTATGTAGTAAAAGTAAAATTCTGTTTAAAGGTTTGACTCTTGTTAGGTTTCCAGTTCTTTGAAGGAAAACGTGTTTGCCGTTTTCTACCCTCATTTTATGTCAGTGAAGATGTCCGTCTTCTAGAAGCATCTCTCAGGTGTGTCGGGAAATGGAGCTCCCATCTCCCTGGCCTGGCGCTGGTGGTGGTTGCTTGTTCTGTTCTGTCGTACGAGGCTCCGCCACCCTAACTCCTCGTCCTCAACGGGGGGCCTCCCTTCCTGTGATGTTTCTTTACTTCTCCCTTATTCTGTAGGTTTTAATAAAGAGGTCTTACACATCATTTATTAATATATCCTTTAATATTTTAGGTTTTTTGCACTGTTGTAAATGAGATTTAAAATAATTACGTAATCGTTTACTGTGAATACACACACACGTTGACACACATACACCTTTTACCTTTTGTATGTTAGCCTGGTGTTACCTTGTATATTAGTGTTTTGTGGATTCCTTAGGGCTTTCTTGTTTTTCTTGAGACAGAGTTTCCCTCTGTCGCTAGGCTGGAGTGCACTGGCACAATCTCGTCTCACTGCAACCACCACCTCCTGGGTTCAAGGGATTTTCCTGCCTCAGCCTCCCGAGTAGCTGGTATTACAGATGTGTACCACCATGCCTGGCTAATTTTGAGTATTTTTAATGGGGGGAGGTGTCACTGTGTTAGCCAGGATAGTCTGGTTCTCCTGACCTCATGATCTATCCACCTCGGCCTCCCAAAGTCCTGGGATTACAGGCGTGAGCCACGACACCCGGTCCCTTTGGGCTTGTTCTGTATAGATAACACCATCTTCAAGTAAAGCAGTTTCCTTTCTTTCTAATTGTTGTTATTTTCTTCCCTTGTTATGGCACTCCCAGTACAAAGTGAAAACTGGCTAGGGCAGTCATCTTTGCCCTGCTCCTTGTCTTAGAGGGAAGTGGTCAGTGTTTTGCCATTAAGTATGTTAGCTTTAGATTTTCACAGGTGCCTTTTTATCAGATGGAAGAAGTTTCGTTATACTTCTAGTTTGCTTTCTCTCTCTCTCTCTTTTTTTCCAAGATGGAGTCTCCCTCTGTTGACAGGCTGGAATGCGGTGGGATGATCTCGGCTCATTGCAGCCTCCAACTCTCAGGTTCAAGCAGTTCTTCTGCCTCAGCCCCTCGAGTAGCTGGCACTATAGGCACATGCCACCACCCCCAGCTAATTTTCATATTTTTAGTAGAGATGGGGTTTCACCATATTGGCCAAGATGGTCTCAATCTCTTGACCTCATGATCCACCCACCTCAGCCTCCCAAAGTACTGGGATTACAGGCGTGAGCCACCGCGCCCACGTCTTTTTTTTTTTTTTTGAGATGGAGTTTGCTCTTGTTGCCCTGGCTGGAGTGCAATGGCACGATCTTGGCTTACCATAGTCTTCATCTCCCAGGTTGAAGCGATTCTCTTGCTTCAGCCTCCTGAGTAGGATTACAGGCATGCACCACGACACCCAGCTAAGTTTGTAATTTTAGTAGAGATGGGGTTTCTCCATGTTGGTCAGGTTGGTCTCAAAGTGCTGACCTTAGGTGATCTACCCACCTTGGCCTCCCAAGTGCTGGGATTACAGTCGTGAGCCACCACACCCGGCCAGTGTTGTCCTCTTTTATTCTACTAATATGGTTAATTTTATTGTGTGATTTTTTTTTTTTTGAGATTAAACTGACCTTGCAATTCTAAGATAAACCATACCTGGTAGTAATGTATCACATATATTATTTAATATATCACATACATTATTGGATTTCATTTGCTAATAATTTGTTAGTGGTGTTTCTGTGTTCATGAGGGCATGTTGGTCTGTAATTTTCTTTTTTGGCAATATTTCATAAGGCTTTGGTATGAAGGTTATGCTAGTCTCATAAAATAGATTAGGAATTTTTCACTTCCTCTCTTTTCTGAAAAAGGTTATTTCACATAGATGTGATTTCTTCTTTGTATGTTTTCATAGCATCAACAATGAAGCCATTTGGAGTTTGTATATCTAGAGAGATTTACGATAATTAATCCATTTTCTTTTCTTTTTTATTTTGAGACGGTGTCTCTCTGTTGCCAGGCTGGAGTGCAGTGGTGCAATCTCGGCCCACTGCAACCTCCATCTCCCGGGTTCAAGCGATTCTCTTGCCTCAACCTCCCAAGTAGCTGGGACCACAGGTGCCCACCACCATGCCTAGCTAATTTTTTAGTAGAATCAGGGTTTTAGCATGTTAGCCAGGATGGTCTCAATCTCTTGACCTTGTGATCCACCCGCCTCGGTCTCCCAAAGTGCTGGGATTACAGGTATGAGCCACGGTGCTTGGCCAGTGAATTTATTTTCTTTAACAGGCAGGGGTATTAGGATTTCTGTTTCATGTTGTATTCTATTTTGTGTTGTGATAAGTTGTATCTTTCAA